TATGCCGGCAGGGTATGTGGAAGATTCGCGAGATCTATTTGATAGAATGCCTCACTACGATTCCGTGGCATGTGTTGCCATGATCGGCGCATATTCCTTGGACAGGAATCTCGCTGAAGCAAAACATGTGTTCGATGCCATGAGCTACAAAGACATAAGAGCCTGGAGTGCCATTGTCGCAGCATATTCCCAGAACGGGCATCTTTCCTACTCGAAGAAACTCTTTGACGAGATTCATGAACCAAATGTTTATTCGTGGACGACGCTTTTGCAAGGATATGCCGAGAATGGTTGCGAGGAGGTTGCGATTGAGCTGTTCCAGGAGATGGATCTCAGTGGTGTGGAGCCGGACGAGGTAACTTTCCTTGGCCTTCTCACAGCGCTCTGTCAAGTCGGGAAGCTAGAGGATTGTTTGATCCAGTTTGCATCGATGAGCGAGCGAGGATTGAGACCAAGCTCGGAGCACTACTGTTGCATGGTCGACGCTCTCGGGCGGTCTGGACAAGTTGGAGAAGCCGAGAGAATCATAAACTTATTGAAAAGATCACCCGATAGTGGAGCTCTTGAAGGTCGTGACGCAGCTTGGTTTACTTTGCTTGGAGCCTGTAGAAGCCAAGGGGACGTTCATCTCGGGGTCCGTGCTGCCGCAAACGCGACGACGTCTTATAAGAACCACCAGAAGCTTTACAGGCTTCTCCACAACCTCTATGCGGGATCTTAGAAACACCAAAAGGATTAATTGATCAATCGAGTTTCTCGAAAAAGATATGCCCTCCAAAAGGATTAATTGATCAATCGAGTTTCTCGAAAAAGATATGCCCTCCAAAAAACTTAGCTGGAAGTAGCACCTCAATTGGAAGCAACCGCAGACTTGAGAAGATCAAGCGACGAGGATACCAAGTCTTGGAGCTGGCTGCGAGAGTACATTGGCGTCGTGTAAACGAAGGTGAGAGAGAGCTCCGGACCATCAAGTAAAGCCTCGGCTACGGAGAAGCAAGGTCCAACGTAGTGCATGGACGCCAGCGGCCCGATCGTTCCAGCAAGCTTGAGGTTCTTCACGTTCCCCCAGCTACACTTTGTTGGTCCGTCCACGAACACGGTGAAGAGTGCTGTCCTCATGGACGAGCTGGGTGTAACGCTCGGATGCTTGATCACCTGTAAGAATAAGGACGTAGTCTTATACCACAGCCCAAAAACCAGCACAAGTACCTGGGATAGAAGCATATTAAGCACGGAGAGCTCGGAGAAATGGCGGCTCTTTGCCAAGTTCTTCTCGGTGGAAGACGATATCTGCCTTGCAAGATCCCAGAATGGAACGCCTTCCTTAACTTGCTCGTCGTGAGGCAATCCGGCCGAGTAGTTCCCCACAACGCTGGCGTCCAGCGGAGGCTCAAAGTATCCACGGCAATCCAGCACACTTCACAAAGAAAAAAAAAAGTTCTCACTCACTATAGAAACCAAGCGTCGAGAGACTTACTTTGTGAAGGAGAATGTGTCTTGCTTCTTTTCTTTCGTGACGCTGGCGGCGGTCTTGAGGAATGCCGCCGAGAGCGCCGCTGCGATCGTCGTGCTCTCACGCTTGCAAGCCGCAAAGAAATCCTCAGTACCTTCAAGAAATTCATCCAAGATCTGGCACGAGAAGCTTTGAATCGAGCAATGTACCTGGTTTGCCAAGGCTGTAGCTCAGGATCTCGGATCTAAACGGCGTCGCGTGTGGCTGCTTCGTGAATCCTGGCTGGAACGGCAGTAGCGCGCTCTTGGAGGAGTTGAGCGCGTATCCCACAGCATCGATCCCTTTCTTGAAGAAACCCTTGGACGCCTTGGATTTGGGAACCAGATCTTCCATGCACGGCAGCAATCCATCGCGATCCTGCCGCTGCTGCTCCTGGCGCTCGCATTCTACCCCTGCCTCCACGCATCGATCGAGCGCCGCCACGAATTCCTGCGCGGCGGTGGAGGAAGAATATCTGTCGCAAGCGCCGCTGTGAAACCTAAGAACGATGATGGAGGAGCCGCTGGAAGCTTCCTCGTAGACGTGGATTTGGAAGATATCCACGGTGTGATCGAGCTCCTTGTGCTCCTTGTGGAAGGGAAGATTTAGCTCGTTTGTCACCACCGCCTGCAGCGCGCTCTTGACGAGCGCTTCTTCGTCGCCATCGCAAGAACCTAGGGTTCCTTCTTCTGGCCACGGCAGTGATTCCACCACTGGTGCGAAAGAATCGACGCTCCGGACCTCGAATGCCAGCTTCTTGGAGGAAGATTTCGCGTCGGGGACGAGTTGCGCTCGCAGCATTGAGTGATTCTCACATACCGCTTTGGCAGCCAGGAGAATGCTCGGCGTCTGGACGATCTGGCGCAGCGCCATGCCGAAAATCCCAATCCCAGTGCCGCCGGCTGTGCATCGCGTCCAATTCTCCTCGGACGACCCCAGCTCCCTCTTCATCACTGTCGCCGCGGCCGCCATTGGAGCTGGATTTCTTCCCTCCGGGGTGGAAGAATTTTCGACCGAATGTGGAGATATGGAGAACAGCTGGGAAGAACAAAAAAGTTCTTGCCAATGGACAAGAATATCCGTCGTAGAAATACGATACGAACGGAAAGAAAGAAAAAAGCTGTGATGGTTTGGTGACCAAATTGACCCCTCCTATTATTTCTTGTTGGCCGCAAATGCCGCGTGAAGGCATTCTATCTTCACCAAACCCAGCTTTTTTAGGGCTCTTATTGCCATTTTGGCGGGAGCTTTTGAAAATTTTAGGTTCCGGCTATGGAGGACGAGGCGGCGTCCAGCCCGCCAAGGGGCGACGACGCCGAGAAGAAGGCGACGAGGAAGAATGCCGCGGTGCCAGTGCTGGTGTATGCGCCCTGGTCACAGGGCGCGCGCAAGCAGGATGAGGAGATCCAGAAGAAGCTGGAGACGACGGACGAGCGGAGGTTAGCTTCCATTGTTTCGGGGATTGGAGCGTTCGAGACGAGCGGCAGCGACGATTGGCACCAAGGATCGGAGGTTTTCGTCAAGGGATCTCACTGCTTAGGTATGGACTTCATGGCTGGAGGAGTTTATGCTTATTTTGCTCGTTCACTCCCACAGAAAAACTGAGGGAGCTTCAGCGGTGCTTGACGAGGGACAATCCGGATAGCAGGCGTGTGTTTATGCAGCTTGGGCAATGGAATGTCGCGGGGAAGTACTTGGTACCGATCATACAGCACTATTCGGAAGATCGTCATCTCTTTCTTGCATCGTGTTAGTCCCATTCCTGTCGTGTTTTTCGTTCTTCATGGCTTACATTTTTCATTTTTTCTTTTTCCAGTGAAGGTGTCGATTCTCCTCACTCTTCCCATCGATCAAAACTCCACCAACACGTTCGACCAAGTTGAGTACCTGTGCCAAATCAAAGAAGAGTTTCGCGAACGCAATGTTCTCGGGGCAATTATCGCACATCTAGAAGAACCTCTCGGGCATTTGGAAAAGTATGTGCTTAGCTTTTGATGCCTGCTTTTCATAACTTGTCTTTATGCTCTTGTAGGGGCTCTGTCAGTGAAGACGACTGGAGGCTTTTGCAGCTGGTGCTCGCTTTCATTCAGAACCTTCTGGCTGTACCAGAAGCTATGAACTGGGTTGGTCCTTACCCTGCCGAGCGGTACTCTCAACTGCGAGATGGTATTCTCGAGAGTTTGTTTCGCGAGTGCGGACCGGACATCGTCCTGGCCGTTACGAAGCATTTGCCCGCCTTCAAAAATGGCATCCGGAAGGATAACTTCCTTATTATTCAGATTCTACACCATATGTTCTGGGGTCAAAAACCAGAGTTGCTCTTTCAAGCATCGAGAAAGGTGTGTAGTTTCGTCTTTTATTGTAAGTCGGTTGCTTACTGAGCTGCAATATCAGACAAAGGAGACAAGTTCAAATGCTTTAAATGAATGCGACG